TGATGTCGTCATGTGGTGTAATGAGTGTATACCATTGTGCATATACTGGTATGTAAACCTTATATTAGTCCTTGTAGCATATGGGTGCAGTGATGCCATCATGTAAATTGTATATTACCCCTTGTAGCATATGGGTGCAGTAGTGCCGTCATGTGGTGTAATGAGTGTATACCATTGTGCATATACTGGTCTGTAAACCTTATATTACTCCTTGTAGCATATGGGTGCAGTGGTGTCGTCATGTTGTGTAATAAGTGTATACTGTATACCATAACTGCCTGGTGAAAATGAATGCACGAACAAGAAATAAAACRTAGCAAATCAGAAATGTCAGCGCAAGCTCATTAAGCTCTTTTCTTTTCCCCCAAAAAAGTAACTTTAAAGTTAGTGATTAGTAAAATAATAAATGATTAACAGTGATGAAGTAATTTACCTTTGGCCCCTTGTTTTTAATATCTTTTCTTCCACACACAATCAATCTGTGCCCAGCAAGAATAATATAGATGTGAATCACATAAAATGTGAATGGTGCGCAGGCATGAAATAAACTCAATGGACTGATATTAAATTAATGCACACTCATAACAATGGCTCTATTCCTGTTTATGATACCCACAAGATGTACACTCAACTCATCACATGCATATTTGTGAGTATTAATGGTATTTCATCATGCATTGGTGCTTTATGCAGTGCATGTTATGATACAATCATGCAAATATTTTACAACTAGTAATTAGCATTATCATTGAGTATTATGGAGCTGTTACTTCTATGCTAACTACCCCCCTCCCCTCCCCCCTAAAAACACTTTGGGAGATATCATCCAGGTTRATAATACTGATCTACAATTCATAAGGTTACTGATCAAAAATTTGAGTAGAGTAAACAAGAATTATTCACTGATGAGTTGGGACAGACTAAACACTGAGCTGATGTCAGAAGTATGCAAGAATACAAGAGAAAGGTTCTACATTATACTGTATAACATAATCCCTAAAGAAACTGAGTCTTAAATGCAGAAATACTCTCTCATTCAACAAATACATTGGCATTTTCAAAAGTAACAAAGACTCCTTAACCTGTTTGATATGAGTATTATTTAGAGWTAGAGCATTATTGGTTGATTGAGAATAGGGGAATGTACTACCCATGCACCCCTCCCCTAGATCTGCCCCTGAGATACTAACCACAAGCCAGCATCAAGCTAAGTATGATTAACTATTAAAGTAAGACTTCCCATGCAACAAGCATCATGTCCCATACCTCTCTGGCCTTGTGATCCTCTGCCATCTTTTGCCAGTGTCTTCTGTTCTCACGACAACCATCTTTTAGTGGAGCTAAACTTTTGTCAAAGTCAGCTAATGCCTAGGAGGTCAATCAGTATGAGGATTTAGTTAGCAGTCCCTCTAGTTCCTAACATGGTGTGAAGAGAGTGTCTAGTGACGCACCTTATAAAGGGGTAGACAGACTGCATCAATAAAACCAACTTGCATCTGTGGTAGTTCATCTTTCTTACGCCTGTCCATTGTTGGAGGTGGTGTTGAATGAAGTTCTTTTTGTTCCAGGTCACCTTGCTGAAAGAATTCTTCAGCAACCAAATGAGCCGTCTAAAAAATGAACAGCAAAATATCAAACATGAATTTATACTCATAATAGATTAAAACCATAAACAATATTCTGTCTAAACAACRATATATTATTTAAGATATGAATGCAAAGAGATCAAAATGAACACCCTAAACAAGTGACCCAATACTGCTTTTGAACATTGACCTAGTGGCATTTGACCCAAAAGCAATCCGCCAAATAAAGTGATTTCCCAGCCACTATCATGTGAAACCTTCTGATAGCAACAGCAACACGACATTCATATTCATATTATCATTTCTTACCCTTTTCTGGACAAGCCATGGTTTAGTGATGGCTGATAAGTCACATGCTGTCATTAACATTGCCCTGTTGATAAATATTGTGTCAATGTTAAACTCAAAAAAAATAAATCAATGAAAGTAGGCACAAACAGCCACAAAAAAAAACCTGAATAAAGGAAAGCAATAAAGAGTACTTTAAGACGAGCAATAACCGTGTACCTGATGAGATCTTTGTTAGTATCCTCATCCCATCTGATCTGTTTGGATTCTACTTTCTTGAAAAATTCACCCCTTCTCCTGCAATATAAGTACATTTGAAGTCCTAGAATTCAGAATTTTCCTTAAAAATGCCATTTCATTTCTCTTTCCATCGTTTAGTTCTATTCCTTACCCTTCCCTTCATTATTAGGTATCCCAGAGACCTTAAAGGCAAGATATATTCTACTTACTGGAAGTACAGAGCCAGATCTGTTGCTATAATGCTTGCTTCAAGTATTTTAATGATGGAGTTGTATTCTTCAGYGGATAATGTGCCAAATATATCATTGCCCTAAAATAATGTTCAGACAATGAAAACAAGTATATAGAAAAAGTGAGTCTAGGAAAGAATGTGATAATAGTCTTGAATGAACCTCTTCAGCTTGTTTGGACATTATGTTTTCACATTTCAGATTATTAATCATTACCTTTAGTCTCTGGTTTCTTCTTAAGCATTATTATAAAAGAACTGCTCTAAATCTTGCATTCTGATTGGTTGGGAGTGCATGCTTTATGAGAGCACACAGCACGCTGAGCACTTTCAGCTTCGTAATTCATGTAATTTGTATTTTATAAAAGAAATAAAAAACTTGCTTGCTGTGCTGTGTGGAATTATAAAGCACTTGGGGATTGGCAGATCACTCAAGAAGTGTCATGAAGCACTCCGCTATGCGTTCTACCAACCCCTGCATGCTTTATAACTGCACACAACATGCGCACATTTTCTATTTCTTTATTAGTAAACAGAGGCATAATAAAGAAGCAAAAGACACAAAGAGTTAGAAAGAAGCATGGCGCATAGCAGATCCCAAGTGCTTTATAACTATACACAGCAAAGGAAGCAAATTTTTTAATTCTCTTACAAAATACATTCTCTTATGAAAAATAGAGTGCAGGAGCAGCGGAAGCTGAAAATCTTTGGGGGGGCACTGAAATATTATATTTAACGCTATGTGATAATGTTCATTGTTTTGCTTGACTGCAGATGCATGCGCCGTAAAATTATGACTGAGAACCAATATTTTGTGGGGGCCAGGCCACCCCAAAAAATTTC